CCCACACACACACACACACACACACACCGAGAGTAGAAGTTTAAACTTCAACAGGAACAAATTATTTGCTGTCCTGCAACAAAATGAAAATCTTGCACAGATTAATCTGCTTTAAATGTTTTTCACACACCAATATCTGGTTTTAGTATTAAAATCTGAGCTATTCATCTTAGTTTGAATCGTATAACTTATTAAAGCCTGTAGGAAATGGTGGTTTTCAGAAGATGGTTAAATTTACGCAGTGAACATTTTTTTTCATCTGACATTAAAGGGAACATATCCCAAAGTCACTTTTTAAGCCATTAAATGCATTTTGTTGTGTTCTTGGAGTCCTTAGGAGTGCAGAAAATATTAATATAGTCTCTCCAGGTGCTGCATAGATAATTTTATCTTCTTTTTGTGTAGGGTTGGTCGATAAATTGATTTAATCGATTAATTCGAATTTGCCATTTATAAAGATTTAATTTTGGGAAAATCGAGATTTTTTTCCCACTCTTTGGAGCTTCTGTAGTTCAGAGGTCACCCAACCTGTCCCTCAAGATGCTTGGTACATGACATGACAAAATGGCAGCTAGCAAAGAGGATCTACTTCCCAAAAAAGGAACTGTGTCTTTGGTTTTCTGGAACTGGTTAGGTTTTGCAACCTTGGTCTTGGAGCAACAAACACCTCACAGCTAAATCTGTTTGAAGGCTCTTGCTACAAAAAGCAGGAGTACAACAAATGTGTTTCAACACCTGAAACAGAGGCACTCCGTTAAGTGGGAAACAAAATTGATTAAAATCAAAAATCGACTTGGGGATGAAAAAAAAATGGAGATTTTATTTTTGGGCCATATTGCCCAGATCTATTTTTGGTCATATTTTTCACTTTGTTTTATAAAGTTTTCTTAAKTATTATGTTTCTATATTTGTGATGGAACTGCCAAATAAGGTCTGACTTTATCAACTAAATTTTTGTTGTCTTCCCTTGTTGACAGATTTTAATTAATTTGTAAATAAAAGGTTTCTGCACTGCTATACAGTCATAAACACCTCTATCAAACTACARTGAACTTCTCTGGAAGCTGGAGGCGGGGTGTTTGGATTTAAAGAGACAGCTTCAAAATGAGTTGTTCAAGGGGTAAAAGAGGGGCTTGTGGAGTTATGATAGGGAGGGATTCAGACCAAAGTGTTGCAGTTCTACTTTATGTGGACTCCAAATGAATGATTTAAATGTGAAAAATGAGAATTTAAAAGCATATGTATGCTTTAAATTTGTATTTATAAGTGTGAGCACAGACTTTTCTTGTGGGGTATTAGGCAAGCTAACTCAAAAAATACTTCTCTTACTCTTGCCATAAAGCAATACTATAGTAAACAAATGTCTCTTCTCCTTGAACAACTTGCTTGAAAATGAAAACGTGGAAAGTATCAAGTGTTTGAGGGTCATTTCCCTTGAATTGGACAGTGAACATGTGTTTGTGTCAGAGGTTTTGGAGATCTGACAAGGGATAAGGGAAGAGTGGGAGAGGAAAGCTTTTCTAAGTTATATCTGAAAAGCCTTTTTTCTCTCAACTAAACTTTAATGAAAAGTTTACAAGCCTTCTCTCCAGTGGACAGAAGAAATGCCCATTTGTCCCAAACAATTGGACCTAAACTGAGGCCCCTTTTTCCTTATAGCTTTTAATCAGTTTGCTTCTATCCATTGTGGGGGAGTCCGGGCAAAACAAATGCCAGGTAAATCTAATAAAGGTATAGAAGTTGTGGAATCACTGATCTGTAGCAGATGGATATTTTCAAGCTTTCTTCACTTTTCCACTAATCTGAAAACACATTTGAGCTCAAGTCAGTCTTAAAGAAACAGAGCAAAGAAGGTTTAGAGGCAGGAAATGGTAAGAAGGACCACAGTGTGTGTGACTAAGGATGGATTAGCATTAAAGTCTCTGGCTTTTTAATTGAGCGTTTGCAGACATGCTTGTGAATTTGCAGCTTGTTGGATACAAAGACGTTTGCACTGATACGAATTAGTTTTTATTTTTTTAAAGATGCTCGATCAGACTCTCTCTGCCTACACAGGTTTGACTTTTCTCTGACACTCACACACAGACATGCTCAATAAAATCCCCCATCTTCAGAAAACAAGCCACTCCTTTGTCGGCCGAGTGAGAGGCACTTGCTGTGACAGGCAATTTGTAGCCTGCCTTACATGTGTCACAACACGGCCCTAACAGCCATATACATACATACTGAGTCACTCACTGACAGCCACCTACATACAGTAAATGCCCACCCGCCAACAAATCTGGCTAATTGTAGAAAGCATTTCATTTCAGATCTGTTCTTTGAGTTTTCTTTATTTCTCCCATATTCATATCAGCTTATTTCAAAAACACTAACATACTATACTATACGCATTTTATTTAATTTAAGTAAAAATGACACTTGGTTCTTCTGGTGTACACACTTTCCTAAGTACTCAGGCTGTAATTAGTATTCTTCCAAGAAGGGACCAGCATCTCCAAAGTGCTGTAATGAATCTTAGATTTAAAGCGCTCTAATTACAGCTTATCATCTCATGCAAGCCTTCAATTATGCACAGACAAAAATGAAGATATTTAGTACTAAAATGGCTTTCGGCATTGGCGCCGTGCACTCATTTTGTCACCACAGTGGAGTCCATTGTGGGTAGGTATGTGGATGGGAATGATGATTTGTTGGTGAGGTTCCCTGTTTGTGTTTAAGTTTTAGGCTTTAGGGTTAACTATAAATGCTAGATATTAACTAAATAAAACCTAAAGCATCTTCTAAACACAGACACAACTTCATATTCATCTTTCAGTCTTAATGTGAAAATTTCAGGATTCTGAACCAGTCTTTTACAGTTTGTTCAGCAGCAGAAAAGCTTGATGAAACTTCATCTTTTAAGAGTTAAAACATGTTTCTTGATCTTTGTGTCTGGGAAGTTTCTTTATTTCTAGGTTTTACAATGTTTTGTTAAAATAAAATTTAAAAAAATTATACGCATGGTAATTGGTAAATGGACTGAATTTGTATAGTGCTGTATCAAGTCCCTCCAGATCCCAAAGCGCTTTACACTACAGACATTCACCCATTCACACACACATTCACACACTGATGGTGATAAGCTACATTGTAGCCACAGCTGCCCTGGGGCACACTGACAGAGGTGGGACTGCCATGCACCGGTGCCACCGTCTGACCACTATCTGTAGACATCGATAGACATGCGTATTTGATAAGTCATATAAATGCATTGGAATGATTTGTTATGGAAGTAAGGTTAAGAAGAATTTAAGACGTGAGATGCAGTGTAGTTCCATGCCAACAAGGAGCTTTACACATGTTTGCTTTGAGGGTGTTGATAGAGAAATATACAACATGACAAAAGGTCTTTGTACATTTAGAGAGGAGGAACTTTGTTACTACATGAGAAAGTCAAATGTAAAAGAGAAGAATGTAATGGAAGGGCAAGACAACAATATAGCGGTGAGATTAGGGTTGGACAAAATCACATTGCATGCAAATATTTGTCAGAAAAATTATCAATTAATATTTGCCACTTTGCAAGTAGTGCCATGAAATGATGTATTTTTGTAAGAGACACACCATCACTATCAAGCGTGCATGTGAGCCCAATGTCAGAAGGCAGGCGAAGATTAACTAATGCTAACCCTAACCGTGTGAACTTGTTTAATCACCTGAAACACTGACATAAACTGTAATTAGAGGAAAGCCAGAAAGCCACAGTGCAGGCTACATGGAAATGCATTTGTTATGTATTTATTGTTATATTAATTGTTAAATGTCACAATTAATCGTGACAATTTTTTGCCAACGTTGCCCAACGTGAGATGTTAAGTAGGAGTGACAGATAAGTAAAAGGTGGGGGTGTGATCAGGTTTGAGCCTTTTTTAGTTTGAAAAGATAAACAGATGAGGTCAGCAGGACTCCCCATAGACTATGGGGAGTCCACTGAGAGACTATGTCTTCATGGGGCTGCAGCCAACCCAGACCATGCAGGCCACAGCCCAAGCAGTCTAGCCCAGGGGTGAGCAAGCCTTCGACTTTGAGGGCCACTCATGCATGTTTAACTTGTTCCTCTGATTCACCACACCTGATTCAATGATTGAATTCCCTTTACAGGTTCTGTCTAAGCTTGGTAATCACCCACCCATCCATTCAAACCAGGTGTGTTGAAGCAAAGAAACCTCTAAACATGCAGGAAAGCATCTCTCGAAGACCAGGATTGCCCACCCCTGGTCTTGCCTTTGCTTGACGTATGTTTGTGTGACCATGCGCTACCCCATTACCATAGTGATCAGTTTTATATCACATATCTTCAGACTTATAATGCGTTGGGACATGTATTTTCACCTTTTCACTGTTTTAACTTCACAATTAAAACGTTACACATAAATAAAAAAAATTAATTAATAATTTGTGTTTAGCTCCAGTATCAGTACATATAACAGCATTTCATTTAACATCTTATGCAACTTAAATTTCATCAGCTGAGTTGCTATACTTATATTTAAAACAAATACTTTGGTCCTTGATGAATTTCTAAACTACGCCAACTTGGTTTAAAAAAAGTCCACCACCTTCATT